TTATACCACTATTTATAATATCTTCTCCGTTGAACCAAAATATCTCTTCTGTCGGTCTCAGAGTCTCCATCACAACACATGTCAAATTTATATCACGTCCCGCCTGAAAATACTGTTCTGGCCGCCCCGTGATCTTCGTCCTGGGTTCAAGAATGTTTAGATGGTAATACTGACTGATGAAAGGCTCTGAGCTTACTTGACATATATAATTTCCAGAGTCCGTCACCTGCGTGTGCCTGATAACTAAAGTCCACTCGTCAGAATCAACAGCGTGAAAGGACTCAAACTGATCCTCAGATGTGAAAGTATAAACGTCATACGTAAGGATATGAAGGTCTCTTTCCCGAAGCCAAGCCACACTGTTCGATCCCAGATTTTTCACTCTGCAACACAAATAAGCGGTCTTCCCGTACGTGACATTGACCACTAGTTGATTCGTACTGACAAAGTATGGCTGCAGGACCGTTCCTGACGCCATGATAACACACCAGGCGAGACAGCTGATGAACGCACCGCGACACATCTGCTCCATGGCTCCTTCGCAACGACACTGTTCATCTACACTCGTCACGTCTCAAGTCTGGCTTCAAAGGAATTATTCTTGATAGCTCCATCCCGTATTCACTTCAAGGGGAACGTTAGGCATGCGGCCACGAAATTAACGCGATAAAAGAGTCCGCACAGCGCCATAAGACAAGCCACCAGGAACTAAATTATGACGCCAACTTTACATCAAGTGCCCAAATGCATTTAAAAGTAGCTCAAATTATCGAGCGAGTTAAATTTAGTGCACTCCTATTTTTCAAATTACTCAGATTCATTTTGATGTTATCCTTAGACGGTCTTTTAGGTCAGGTTAAGTTTCTTATCACGTCTATTTATGTCTGTCTCATTTGTCATGTGAGTTCTACATGTCCGATCAATATCTCGCACAAGGAATACAAAACATGAAACACCACAGTTTGCAGTTTTTTTCTATTGCTCCATTCGCCCATTTATTCTTAGGTTTACATGCTTTTTTCTTTCTCAGAACATTGTCCCCTCAGTAGCGCTCAATTCATGTCAAATCGTCAAAATGTGTACGAGCTCTAATAACGCATAAGTTGGGTTTAACTAACGGCTGAGGCTAGCGCGCACAAGCCCATGCTTTTGTTTTTTTTTAAAAAAAATTTGTAATTTGGCATATAGACGTACGAGGGCCGTTCCGAATTCTCATATACAAGGAAATATCAACATTTAACAACGTATTATATTTATTTAACAGGCATATCTGGGATGGTGGTTAAAACAGAATCATTTATTTAGAGTTCTGAAAAATAAATTCTGTTCGCTTGTTATAATAAAAACACTGACTTTTCCAACAAACATGTTTGGTTCTTGTCGAATTGGTATAAAGGAATCGTAGACTTTATCCTTTCAAACAAGGTGGTGGATATTAACATTTTTCACGTCACCTGTGTTTGTTTCGCTAGAAGGAAACAGTTGCGGTCCACAAGAAAACAATGGGTGAAGAACTGTGTTTTCATTTTTGCAGCTCAGATCTTAAAAAGACTTAAAAAATTTCAAATAAGCTGAATAGATTAGAAAAAGACCAACGCTATCTTGTCTTGTCAACAACTTCATTTGCATTTAGCTTAACACTAACATACAGTTTAGTCTTTCATGTGACACTGTTGACGTCAAATACGTTTAATGTCTTCTTAGTGGGGAAATACCTCTCAACTGTTAACATAGAACAAGTATTGTAAGGCAAATGAGAAGAAATGTAACAGTTTCATTAAACACTAAGTAGGAATTAAGAATTTCGAGTGGATCTTTAACAGCCTTAAATATCGGAAGGCTAGACTACTTGTACTCTGAATAATTTCATTTACTCTGATTTAATTTCAAGTCAATTTAAAGTAACAGAACAGAAATCTAGCATTCCTCGCCGTCAGCTTCTTTGTTTGCGCATTATTTCTGCAGTTTCTAAAGGGGCCGTGCTCCTTGTCTATTATTTTTCGGAAGATCGTCACCCCCTCGCAACCATCTTGATTCTACGAAGTGCATAAAAGTAACGCACCAAGGTCAACCGACTGCCATTACAACGGCGGACGAAGTCTGTTAGCGGAGTGATCAGCGTCATTATAATATTACACTGGCAATTTCAACTCCGTCCACCAATTTTATCAAGCATCCGCTATCAAAACATCTTGTTTCCAAGAATAATGTCCTTATGTAGTTCAGCCCTCACACGGTTCTCTCTCTCTCATTCACTGGACGCTACAGCAGGAAGCCGAGTATCACACGAATTACAATCGCAGCTCTCAACTACACTGCAGAATCCCAACAAGGCGGTGGTTTATTTTTCGTAATTATAGTCAAACAGAAAACAAAAGAAAAACCACAAATCATGTGCGCGATTAGCGATTGGTTGTGTGTCGATAGACGCTCCCATGTATTCCATGTGAATTTATTGACAAAATCTTACGATAATGAAGAACGCTGTTAAGAGTCGAATGAAATATAATTTATCTATTTATTTATAGTTTATTTAACAATGCTTTTTCAGTAGATCAGACTACATAGCATCGAATCAGAGGATCACAGCGTATTGGAGAGAGTGTGGCCTAAGGTACTATCCCAGCATTTACCTGGAGAGACTGAGTAAAACCATGAAAACAGCCGTCAGGATAGAGGGTCTCTGAGGTGATATTTGAACCGGAACCTTCAGCAAACGAAGCAGGAGTATTAACCACTCGACCACGACGTTCGGTTGAATGAAATGGAAAGGTGATCATGAATGAGTAGACACGTATTTTGAGCAAACAATTTTAATTGTATTGAAAATCTTTTGTCGTCTACAGGTCAGTGTTGTTCCCGTGGAAACAGTAACAAATATGTTCATGCAATAGCAGAAGCATTTGCTCTGTGTAGCAAAATTTGATCCACACAATGGGACAGGGCACAGTCAGGATACAGTCGGGTAATTTTTTAACAAGTAGACTGATAATTATCAAGAATTTGAGTAATGTGATAGTAACTAATACAGAAGGAAAGTATTTGATACTTATTTGAAAATAATAAGATTTTATAAGAATTTTAATGCATGTTATTGGTTATAGAAATGTAATTAGCATATATTTAAGAAGTAATTTAGTCGGCGATATGTGTAAAGAAAGTCTTCAAATTTAATATATATTACAACAATATCATGAATGAAGTGTTCTGCTTTCTTTAAAACACAGAATAAATCACATTTTTTATGGGTTTTATTCATTAACTCGCTTCAGAAATTAGTTTTATGTAGTTATTTTAAGGACTATGCATTGTTAAAAATGGCTATCCTTTGGGTTGTAACACCATGTAGATATTGACTGCAGTTTGAGAGGAACGTATTGCCTTCATCATCGGAATGATTTGTAAGGGGTGTATATCGTTACAGTTATTTATAGATTTCAAAAAGCCTATGACTCTGTGAAGAGCGAGGTGTTATATAATATTATTTTTATATTTGGTACACCAAATAAGCTACTGAGTCTAATAAGAATGTGCTTAAATGAAACCTGTAGCAAAATTCGAGTAGGTAAATATGTATCTGAGACATTCCTCATCAAGAACGGTCTAAAACAAGGAGATGCTTTGTCTCCCTTGCTCTTTAACTTTGCGCTAGAATACGCCATCAGGAAGGTCCAAGGTAGGCAGGAGGGTTTGCAATTGAATGGGATACATCAGCTATTGGCATATGCTGATGTTAATTTATTGGGTGATGATATAAATACAATGAAGAGGAACGCAGAAATTTTACTAGAGGCTAGTAGACAAGTGGGGCTAGAAGTAAATTCAGAAAAAACTAAGTACATGTTAATATCTCGTCATCAGCAGACAGGTGATCTTAGGGTGGCGAATAAGTCCTTTGAAAGGGTTACAAAGTTCAAATATCTGGGAACAACAATAACAAATCAAAATGACACTCATGAGGAAGTTAGGAGAAGATTAAATTCTGGAAATGCTTGCTACTTCTCAGTTCAAAATATTTTGTCTTCCCGTCTGATTTCTAAGAACCTGAAAATTAAAGTATACAAAACAATAATCTTGCCTGTTGTTTTGTATGGGTGCGAAACATGGTCTCTCACTCTGAGGGAGGAACGTAGATTGCAGGTGTTTGAGAATAGGGTGTTGAGGAGGATATTTGGGCCTAAGAGAGAAGACGATGGGGCGTGGAGAAAACTGCATGATGATGAGCTTAAAAATCTGTACTCCTCCCCCAATATTGTCAGGGTCATTAAGTCGAGAAGAATGAGATGGGCTGGGCATGTAGCGCGCATGGATGGGACAAGAGGTGTGCACCGGGTATTTGTTGGGAAGCCTGAGGGGACGAGACCGCTGGGGAGACCTAGACGTAGATGGGAGGATAATGTCAGGCGGGATCTATGGGAGACAGGAGTTGAAGGCGACTGGATTTTGTTGGCCCAGAGGAAGCCATTGGTGAATTCGGTGATGAACCTTCGGGTTCTGTAAGTCATCTAGTTAGTTAGATGTGCAACACTTTGTTCTAACATCCCTCCATTCTAAAATGGCAAGTATTTATATGCAGGTACACATTTATAGCCACGTATAGTTTCGTACATATTTTTTGTGAAGCGTCATGGTGTGGTGTAACGTCATGTCTTTGACAAATTAGTGTGTGTTGTAGCTTGAGGAACTCTGGTCTAGAAGGCACTCGTCATCTTACTTTTGCTCCGAAAATGAAAAAAGTGCTTAGAATCACAATTGTGTATTTGTCCCTCCAAGCTACGGCAAGTTTAAATAAAAACAATTCCCTTGCTTCATTTTCCCCATTTTGTTCTCCTTCCGAGTTCCTGGTACTTCTTGTCTAGATGGCGTTGTTTGTTTTTACTATTTTCATACAAAACAGCTCATAAGTAACTGGTCATGCAAATATATCAAATGGGCTGATACAGCCTTTCACAAGAACAGAGCACAATCAATTTTATTACTTGTGTAGTTTTCAGCAGACATCAATTTTATTTTTATTTTATTAGTGTATGGTTTATGTTTTATACAGACCACCGTCAGTCCAAACTTATTGACTTCACAGGATCAAAATTATGTTCCTTTGACAGCTACAGTGGTATTGGGTACGCGATGGAGGATGCACCTAACTGATGTTGCCTAACACTGATAATCTTCTTTTTTCAATTTACCTCGTCACTCTGAATTCACAAAATTCAGGTCCAAGACAAAAGAGATGATAACATTCAACAGCAATAGTTCTCAAATCAAAACTTGACGGTACAGTTACTTTATGTACGATATTACGTGATGGAATAGTTGGGCTTTGTGCCACTCTTCCTCCCACCAACATTACTTATTTCATAATCACTATCAATGAAACTGAAGTCATGTTTTCATTAATATAGAAAAGCCGACATAATTTTCCAAGACGACATAACCCTTTCTAGGTGCATATTTTCCCTTGGCATGTAACATTTTAGGCACAATTCAACAAAATAAAAGCAATGAGTTACTAATTCGTCAATCAGTATGCGCAGCAGATATATTTTTATAAGCCATTATATCTGGTTGTTTTTTCTAAAATTGTTGAGAAAATCAAATAATGCCCATGCCAATTAAAATGCCCATTTATTTGTAACAGCACCACTGTCTTGTATGTATCCTTAGATGATAAAATAAATTAGCGGACTACAAGACAGCCATAACATTGCATCAGCCACATATAACACTTAACTGAATTGTTCTGCACGTATTTTTGAGCGTCATTTCTTTTGTAGACCTACTGATAAATGACGTATCTATTCATTAATGTAGGCTAAACAATACGAATGGATTACCTTGATCTTCACGCAGTTGACCTACCGCCAGTATACATAACTACAATAAGTGGGCCCCGGACCCCAGAGGTCAAATTGAGAAGTTAATGCATGGTACATCTCTATCCTGACATGTCCCACAACATTTTCTCTTGTTTTCTGTACTTGAGTTAACCAGTTCCCAAATTGTTCACTCACTTATCACCATTAACGAGTACATTATTTGTCTAAGAATGCAGCACAATCACGGTAAATTAATTTTATCACGACATCCTATGAACTGTTTTCTGAACTTCCATATGTTAATTCCAAATAAATCTGAGATCTCAACTTCATGGTGCAAACTAATTTATTTTCAGAGCGAAAGTGTTGCACATGAAGGAGTGGAGTGTTTATTCCATTAATACATCTTCAGTTACTTATTAACTATTCCACTTCCATGAATACATGTTCCTTACATGAAACTTTCTTGGTCTGAAAATAAATTACAATTTCCTTCAACAAGGAAAAGTTCAACTCATTAGGCGTGTTTCATAATTCAGTCAATAACAAGGTTTTGGGTATCAACATAAAAATGCCGCAGACGCACTTCATACCTGACTCGGCACCAACTCGCCTCCGCAGCCGACATATCACACCTGACACAAACTTCAAAAAATTTAATTTTGTAGACTATTTTCTGTACAAAAATACCTGTTTAGAAAAATATTAAGCTCAAAAGACTTAGTAACATAAACACCACTGCTTTTGATGTGGAAGTACTGAAGATACAAATCTACCGTCGCAAAGCTAATCACAGGCATCGACGCGCATTCAAGCACCGGGCGATCGAAATCCCCAAAATGGACAGGTTTAAAATATGCTGCAGCACAACTGGCAACAAAAATACAAACATTTTCAAAACTGATAAAGCCAATTACTTTTTGAGATGCGTCAACAATATGAGCGATAGGCAGATTACAGAGCAAGATTTCCTGTTCAACGCACCCAAGATCTAGACAGGCTATTTTATCACCTCGCAACACTGTAGCAACTTCCGAGGTCATGCACGGTCAAAGAAGATATGAAGGATGCATGAATAACATGTAAGGCAGAATGTAGAAACATTTGTAAGGTTCTATCACAATACTCGCCTAGGAGGAATCTGCATAAAAAAATCACGAACGAACTTTCGGAAAAAGTAAATTCATAGACACATGCCTACCATTAATCAGGATAATGAGATGAATCAAGGTAATTAAATTACCTTCATGACTGTGAAAAACAAACAGAAGTACTCAGACATGTATCATAACTAATTCTGAATGTAAATGTGAATCTTGGAACATAAGATATGCCCAAAATGCCTATGCCTCAACTTGCTTATGAGTTTGCTGGATGGATGAAATGATACTCACATGTTGTTGCTACGAAGAAACTAAGCCAGTGTCACAAAGGACTCACCATGGTTAAGTCCCATGCAACAGTGGCTTAACAAGAAGGCAGACAACAGAATATACGGTTTTCTTAAGCAGACTTTAATATCAAGAGAACCATTCATCGACAGCAACTTGTCCCCTGTCTACTGACTTGAGCACACATCAGAACTAAGCTTAAGGGCTGCCAAAATATTTCCATGAAGTGCAGTAGCAAGTGACCAGGTGAGGAAGGAACAAAAATTATGCTTCAGACTCTAAAGTTGCTTGTCTACAGTAAGATGCAGGAATGAGACCATCCTTCATGCATAGTGTGACTACGTAAAATGCATAAATATCGCTTCCTGGAAATGTAAATACGACAAACAAAACGCTCGGAACAGTTCTTGTAACTTTCTTTCCCTTTCTTTCTGTAAATACAAAACATATTTAAATGTCATTATTGTAATCCAAAAATTAAACCGACTTAAACACAGTATGAAAAATAAAGTAAATCAGGTGAACAAAATTAAATTTCATGACATAAAGCTAGAGGCTCAACTGTACGGATAAAAAATAAGATTTTGCTGCAGAATCTAAAACTGTGAAACTGCCTGGGGTTGACTTCCAACGACAGATATCCTCTACAGTCAAACCTCAATGATTCGGTTCCTGCCAAATTCTGTTCCTGTTTTGTCATGAGGAATGATATCAACTTTATGCGATTTCGTCCTCAAATTATCAAGGTTCAACCATCCTTCCCGTGATCAGATGTCAAGGCACCTGGTCCATGCTCCCATTATATAAATAGAAATACTGAGGAGCATGTGCCAGGCACTGCTTTAGCCTATATTTGATTCCTAATAGTCGTCGATGTCATATAGATCATCTTCAAACTCGTCACACTGCATGCTCTGGAAGTCCACTTTGTAGCGCAGCAGTCCTGCAACCATATGAACACACACATCAGACAGCTTCAAATAAACACTTTAGCTTGGAATGGGAACAACAAAACACATAAACCATACAAACCACTTCTGCAGTGTAGAAACAAATAGGACACTTAACAGGACACCATGTCTCACATCAGGGAGGGCGCCTCTCTCGTATCACATTACCGCCCTTCAGCTGACCTGATACGACAAAACTACAACCTACCTCTGGAAGATAGTTGTATACTTTGTGCAACAAGAACAAAGCAATGAAACTTTACAAAATCTAAAACTGGAAGTGATCTAAGTCTACAGCTGGCATCATAATTCTGTTCATTCATAATCTCCAACTGTTTCGCCACATGTGGCTTTTTTCCTACTGCCCACCAATCAAATTATTTAAGCAAGATATCCGTTAAGAAAAGACAGCAATGTTGGCATATGTTCTTTTAATGCATATATTTTATTCACACGCATATTTAAATTGTGCAGTCGTACATTTTTCAACTACTCGAAAAATTTCCATGTGCAACTCTAACAAATGGCAACTGGAAATGGATAGCGAAATATGTAACTTGTGGTATTCAAAAGTGAAAGTTCATTGCTGTCTGTAAAGCACATAGAGTCCAGTAACTTTTCAACTACCAAAATCCATACATCATTATTATTCTCGTTATCACTCTTATTGTTTGTGTTACATTTGGAAGGGAAGCCATAATTTGTGTTCACCGGTGTTCTGATTTAAAGGCTCCATGTTCAAATGACTGCAAACAAATAATTGTATTTGCAAAAAACACATACTTCAGAAGCATTGTAATTTCATAAAAAATATATCAGTTACTTACATAAATTATGAATCAATGTGTTATCCACTGAAACGGCTGTTTTCAAGACCTGGCATCTATATTTAAGGACTCAATTAGAGATCCAATATAAAAGCGAGATGAAGCAACTTTCATGGAGGGAGATCGGGCCATGTTTTCTGCATGATTTTCTTCACCTCACTACACACATTATTGATGGGGTTCAAGTCAAGTGCTTATAGTGGCCAGTCAGTGAGTTCAACAACATGCCATGATAGCCATTCTACAACCACACAAGGATCATGAACAGAGGAATGGTCTTGTGGAACTGGATTACTCCATCAGGACAAAGCACTCTTACAGATGGCACAATTACATGCTTTAAGATGTGTTTATATTTAAGACTGTCTAGGTGCTTTTCTAACCTCATATGTCAGTTATGCTATAAGATATACCACCAATACTAAGTAAAATTCAAATACCCCCACCTTCCATACGAAGGCATATAACTTGCCACTGCACTTTCAAATGTAAACAAACAAGAGTAAACGATGTGACTATCAAAGTACATCCCTCACCAATTCTCTGTTACACGTATCAACCATACGAATATTCATCTCAAATAACAAGTCAGAAATAATAAATTAAACCCACAATGAAGTTGTTGCCCTCCGTGGACTAGTGGTTAGCGTGCTCGCCACTGGACCCTAGGTTCGCGCGTTCGATCCCGGCCCAGGTCGATGGATTTTTAAGGGTGATAAAAATCCGTAGCACAACTTCCTTCGGAGGGGAAGTAAAGCCGGCGGTCCAATGTCGTAGATTTACGGCACGTAAAAGAACCTTGCGAGCATGATACGAGATGTTTCGTAAGAAAAATTCAGCGGCCATTTCTCACCCAAGTCTCTCCTGATTCATTGCTAGATGGCTCTGGCAGTCAAATCAGGATAGAGTAGAAATTGTGCAGTCAGTGGGCTTGTCAGTAGCTACACATAAATGCACACTTCAAAGACTAAGAAACCTCCGAAAAGGAGGCGGCAATGACCCTCTACTGGGTTAAGCTACAAACAGACAATGAAGTTAATATAACATCAATTAACAGAAAGCATGCTTGAATTCAACATTATGTTTGATCTTTAATTGAGTCCATACCAAGATGAATGAGATCCATGGTTGATGCTCAGGGATTCTGGACATCATATTAAAGATGTTAGGTCTTGAAAACAGCCCTTTCAACAGCTAATATACTAATTCAATTTCTGTATAAGTAAGTGGGATACTTTTCGAAACAAGAATACTTCTAAAGATGGCGGTTTTTTTGCAAATAAAACTGTCTACAATCTGATTCAAACATGGTAACTTTTAAATCAGAATGCCAACAAACAACAATTCACAAACAAACAAGAGAAACACCTGATTTCTACACACTTCTAGCCTCACCAATGCAGCTCAAATAATACAGTATAACATGAATGATAATCCTGACGATTACTTTTTGCTCATTAACAAACGGTAATTGGACTGAGCAGGCTTTACAGGCAAACAATAATTATACATTTCCTTTCAAATGTCACAATCTACACACATTTTGGTATCCATTTTCAGTTTCATTTGATATTACTTCCATACAGAAATTCTGAACACTTTTGTCAAATAATATGCAACGGCACAGTGCGAGTGAGCACAGCGAGTGCGAATACATGAATAACAAAAAGCCAACATCAGGACATTACTTGCACGTGTAATCTTCGTATCAGGGCTAGTCTACCAGCAACTACATATTTTCTTCACCTCTGTTTTGCCACTGAATTTAGTCAAACACATCAGAAAAGTCACTAACATTAATTCATGCTTTTCTTCAAATCCAGCAAACATTCTGGCATCTTTGCTTAACATACATCTGTACAGATAATTATAATAGAAGTTACAGAAAAACCACATAAGGACAAATACAAGAATATTACGAATGACTGGAATTACACAGCCAGCTGTATGCTTACATCACTTCTGGTTTGAAAATTTGGAAAGTTTCAGTGCTCCATTTTTGTTGCACATAGTGTACCATATGTACCTAAGGGCATTAGAGCATGCACACATGATGTGAAGAACTACTGTGCACCAGCGTACATAACATGCTTAAATGCTGCAAGGTTAACTGCAGTCCTACCAACATCTGCATTCAGCCTTGCAGTTGTTATTTCAACAAGCATACTACATCTTGTAAAACAGCGAGAAAACCACAATTGTGAACACGACATCAAATCAAGGCAAACACACAAAGCTAGGCATGTTGTCTGCACCCTTTTCAAATGCATGCACACGTGAACATCACACAACTACAGGGGTGGGGTCTTGATGTCTACCTGATGAAGAGGCAAACCGAGTGGAGCGAGCGACCTTAGTAATCATCAAGGTCGACATCGTCCAGAGGTTCGTCCGCTTGGAGCGACTGGAAGTCAACTTTGTAGCGTAGGATGCCTGGGCGAGAACAAACAGTGACAGCCCCTCATCCACAAGTTCACTGCACAGGCCAATTGGCCTGTGAGACATGCATACCCAACACCACATGGTATACACTTCAGTGTTAGTTTCAGTCCACAATCTAGTCCCATCACTTGTACTCACCTCCTATTCCTCCGAAGCCTCTTACAAATTGTGACCCCTCTTGAGACTTGTCTGTGATTATCTCAAGTGTAGCTCCAAAGCTCTTATAGTTGTTGGCAAGCCATTCTAAAAGTGGCTGGCATTCCACTAATTCCAGTTCTACCCCACTCTGGAAATGGAAACAATTTTATTTAATTTTTTCATGGTGTTAGATGGAACTGAATATTAGATTCAAAGTCCAAAGCTTCAACGTTCTTCTGAAACTTCAGAATCAACTGATTATATTCCCACACTGGGATGTCAAATGAATAAAAGGACAAATGTAAAAAGTAAAAACAGCTAATAAGAGAGACAAGTGTGCACAATTTAATTATCTCAGAACATTTATAAGGTTCACAAAATTACAGCATTTACAGTACTGAAAGTTGTGTTAATTAATGGAAACCCTTACAGTGTTGCCAATTTCAGTGGGTTCAGTAACCTCTGTCTCAACAGGGGTCAAAGGTACAACTTCACAATTTTGGTGTACGAGTTCACTAAAGATGTACTGTGACATTGGGGGGAATAATCAACATAAAAATTTATAAATTTTCTTAAATCTGCCGATTTCATATGGAATAACCAGGGATTTATAACCGAGGGAATATCCAGGAAATTAAAGACTGACGGTCAACGTGTTAATTACAAACTTGAAGTCGTACAACGAGCCATCTCCTCAGTCACTGTACTGAAAGGGCAGCCAGCAGCACAATTAACAGTTAATGTGTTAATCTGAGCAGTGTCCATCTAATATTCATCATCCCCCATTCTGCATACCACCTGGACGACACTGCTCACCTCCTTATCTGTGAAATGTGTCTTGTCCTTTTCCTGCTCAGGCGTAAGATGCAGGATCTTCTCCTCAGCCGTCGCATGGTTCTTGAGCACGTAGCGCTGGATGTCTAGATTCTCCCAACAAATGAGCGTCTCCACGGACCCCAACTCCAGTGCACGCAGCGTATCTTCAACCCCAAAACAGTACTTCCCAGTGTCCTGGCTAATCTCATCAAAATAGCGCCCTGCAGCACCATGATAGCACCTTCAATTTCACATCATAATTTCCAACAGCTTAACACATTAAATCACACTGAAAAATTCTTTTCTCATTAAACACCATTTTTGTTGGATAAGATATGGTTAACTTGGTACTTCTACATAATTCAAATGTTCTCATACTTGTTTTATAAAATATGACACTAAAACCACCATTTAATGCCTAAAACTCCAACCAAGTAAATAATCCTTTCAATAAGTAAGCTCTCTTACGACCTGTACACAGAGGAAAACATGTTTCATGAACAAAACCCAAATATAGGTTATTCATTCAAAACATATGTAATGACAATAACCTGGGCAAGTCTGCCAACTGTTTGTTTGCATTCATTTTAGAAGTGGTACATCAAAAAGAATGTGCAGAATGTACAAATAACGCTCGAAGCTTCTGACTAGAGCCATGAACAGTTAACAACTGAAGACATGCAGCACTACAGTAAATGTTACCTATTAGTTTCTTTTCTTGAATGAACTTCACATTCTGTAGGGACTCGGCTGCCAACTCGATAGCCTGGTTAAAGCCATTCTCTCCCCCATAAGACACATCCACTAGTTTGATGATCTTGGCTTGCAACCGCTGCAATGCACATAACAACGTACAAACATACTGTACCACAGAACTTCTTGCAGTAAACTAAATGTGAGTTACAAATGTTTGAAGCCTCTCTCCTTGGTACTTTGTCACAGTTTGCAAAAATAATAAAGATTTCTGAAGACACAATGCTCTCCCAACAATTCGAGTTACTACAAATGAATCCCCATTTACTCTCTAACAATTTAGGATTCTATATTGAAAAAGCAATTTCAGCCAGTTGTCAAGGGATGGTCCTGCAGCTTAGGGGCTGTCAGATGGGGAAGGGGTGGCAAAACCCCCTATTAAAAAATTAGCAAGTTGTGTTATCAGGCCACAGACTAGGACAGATTCCTTACCAGTGACAGGCTCTTGTGAAATTAGGCAGTGAGCATTCGGGTTAAACAGAAATATAATTTCTTGACTGCCTAAGTAACCATTAGATCTCAAGAAGGATTCTGATCTATGAAATTAGTCAATTTCAAATTCTCCCTTGTCTAGTATTCTAGTACTATAAGAGTTGATGCCTTTAATTCCTCAAGGCCTGAAAGGACAGCCTTTAGTACCAATGACTAGTTCCTGAAGTTCTCCATTTACAAAGAAGAAATGAGACAAAAGATATACATCTTATCTTAGGGGAGTGATCTGCTTTTCACACGAGAGTCTACGAGTACATTAAGAAACAGTAGTACATCTTTTTGTAAAACTTCTCTTGGCAATGCTGAAAAAAAAAACACTTCTTAAAAGGAAGTTGCACTTACAGCAGTAACATTTGCCCAGGGAATCCAGAAAGCCAAGGGAAAAGGGGAATCACATAAACTGCACCACCAAAATATTACAGCTGTAGCATGGCCTTTATCCACAAAGCCTATCTGACAAGACAGTGCAAAGAGAACTGATAAAGATGGTCAGAAAATCAATAAAATGGGGTAAATGGCACTATCTAAGCCTAGGAAGGCCTTGACCAGAGGGCCTAAAAGGTCCAGGTCTGACGGCAGTATCCTAGGTAAGACGTTAATCCTCTTCAGAGACCTAGGGACTCTTCAAAACCTGGAATCTGTATGGAGGCCTTGACTATGGCCACCAGATTTATTATTTTGTCATTTGGGCAGGCATTTTCTGGAACCAGCCAATTTTCATGAGATTCCACCGAGTAAAATACTGTGCATTATGTAAGCACAGGACTACCGGCAAACCAGAAGAATGGGGATGCACAATACATCAGCAATCATAGTGCAAGGGTCACTTTGTCGCTACCCCATTTACATATATGTGACCCAAAGAGCAACACATTTTCTCATGTAACAGCTTTTGTTCTCAAAAGCGATCACTTCTTAGAACTGTCCTTCACAAGCAAAGTCAAGCCCATTAATTGCTTCATGCCTGCAAGTCCTACACACATTTCACCCATAATTTATTGCATGAGCATATGTGTAAGAACAGTTACGTTGATTTATATGTAACTTCCCTGACAGATGCAATGCATGAAGGAGTGAAGACAAACCCAATTCCTACATAATGTTACAGGTTGGTTCTAGCATGAGTGAAATACATTGGTCTTCCAACACACAGACCAGATTATACTATTTTGTCTTTGTTATTCAAAAGAGTAAACAACACTGAAAAAGACTCATACAGTCTGACTGAATGAAGCACAATATTAATTTTGTCCAAACACCCTAACCTTGTTGGACTGCAAATCACTAGTACAACAAAATGCACCCTTTATTTCTAATTCTGTGGAAACCCACCGGATCAAACATGTCTGACTGGCTTAGTTCTGTCTTGAAGTCTGCGCTACCAGCAAGGATGATGCCAGCAATGTTTGGTTTGTCATTTGTGATGAAAAGTGTTGTCGCCACTTCAGCTACCTTCCGGACATAGTTGTGTCTTTTCTCCATTCTAAGTCGCGCAAATCGGAGAGCAGACTGACCTCCTCTACCTGAAATGTGAACCTCAACTTTACGTAACCGACTTTCACGTGGGAACAGAAAAGGTACACAATAATATTCACTTTGTATATCTGTAAATGATCTTATCAGGCATGTCTGCACCCCTGCCGTGCCTGTAACACCATATTACAGGTTAACAACTCAAGAATTGCCCAACAAATGGAGAGTCTTATGTCAAATTATCAAGCCATGTAACTTTTAGATGAAATCAGTGAATAACAACAGGCACTTTACATAAAGACCTACTTATGTTTCTGCACTCTGGTTATGAGATGTAATCATGGAGAACTCCCTGACCATTTACAATGATCAAGGGTCAAATTATGATTTTATACTACAGCAACAGTTTGGATCAAACCCAGGACCCTTTAAATACAAGGCTAGGACACTGATCTGGCACATTTTATTAAAGACCAATCACATGGCTTTGAAAGTCTGAAAATTTCCACATGAGGAGTCCTAAGTTGGGCAATTCCCAGATCATCCACAAAAGTTAAGATCAAATTATGGCAAACATGCAACAGTTACTTCCTATACATACATTTTGAAAACTTATTTATGGACAAAAATGAACTCTTAGATACCCTGATGACCGACAGCCAATTTTACAAGCATATTTTCTTTCACAATGCTTCACAGTTTCCATTACTTTACAGCGGCACAAGAACAACGAAACCGCAGGCCAGGCATGTCAAACTCTTATCCACTAACGCTCCTTGTCAAAGCACCGATTGTTCCATATTTCAATGTCCATCACGAGTGGATAAAATGAAAACATACATGGCTCTTTTTATTAATTCCTAGTTTAAACTTAGGACATATTTCTATATTTCTCTTTTTTCTCACAAGCACATACAAATCTGAATGTCAGTGAAACACGCTTTTAATTTATTTAATTTCAATACAGAACAGCAATACACAAGTTGCTTCTTGACATGCATCTGAAACTTAAATTTACTGGAAGTGGGACATTTTGGGCCACACACCATGTATAACTCAAGAACAGAAGGAATGAAGGGTGAACAAAATAACAGGACGAAATGTTGCTTACACTCTTTTCTTGTAGCCCTCGGCAGAAAACTCTGCCCTATGAACCATCCAAAACCATGCAATTCCAAGAAAAAAAAGTTTGCAATTATTGAACCCAAAAGCAAAATTAGAACCCAAACAAACTCACACCACAATTACCTGCCAGAATTACAAATCTCAAAACAAAACCAGCTCTACTAACTACAAGTTCTTCAGGCATCAACTACGATGTCCAGGAGAATATAAGTGACTTAATCCAGTCCCTCAACTGGCAAAAATACACACATTCACAATTACACCTCTTTAAGAACAAAATGGAAAAGAGGATGGTTTCTTCATAAAGACAAGAAGAAGACATCACCAGCAATGTTTTCTCAACACTCAAACCTCACTCACTGTAAGAAATGCAAATATTAAAACTTGGAAATATAATGAACAATACACGATTTGAAGCTTTCGCGGCGACGTAACTCAATAAAAATTTTCTCGAGTTATCAGCCGTGTCAGATGGCTCATCACCCGGGAAAGTTTTTATTGATAATGAACAATACCAGCAGAGAAATGTATTCTAATGAAGAAAATAAGTTGTGTAGTCATGACAAAAGTAGCTGTGTACTTTGTGTGTTAGAGAAATGGTACACTGAGAACAAAGAATCCAAAAACCACCATCAACGGTGGCAACTTCCCCAATTTCAATGTCTTTAATCTACTGACATATCTTAACATTGAAGGTTAACAGTTAAGATCCCAGCAGGCATTTCATTTCTCATTTCATATTTCATTAAACACAAGTCAGTACAAACATAAAAACTGCAAATAAAAGCATAAAGACAAAAATTTCTTCAGTCATTAAATAGATGATGAAGATGGGACGGATTCTAGTTTGGGCAAGAATACCTCTTTAAAAGCAGCTACTGTACAGGCAGATCTGAGAGGATAATACAGTTATACACGAGGGTCATATAATAAGTAACAATACGATTGCATTCTGAATGCACTAGATTTCAACCTTTCAAGATTAATCCTTGTTCACATTCCTATTTTCCTCAGATTCATCCTTCTCTTTGCAGGAATATTTTCAGCGTGTGCAAAATTTAGTTACAGATAAAACTGGATATCACTAAGAGCAAAGACAAAGAGATGGTGACAGAAGAACTGGATGAACTATGAGCAAGGTGAAAAGGGAGTAAGGAACCACATGACTCACCAAAAATGATAAGGCAAATTACGGCAACTGTATACGCAACTCATTTAGCACGTGCTGTAGCTTCTACATGATATCGAAATAAAACTGTGGATATAACAAAATGGGAGAAAAAACCTACATATAATAAGAGCCACATGTATTAAAATGTAAAACGAGAGATCATGAATTGAATTCAGCTAGTTCTGGACCAGAAAATTGTGCTGAGCCTTCAAGTTCTACTGCCAGACATAGCTGTTACCGGGCTCTTTGACTACACTCCACACATCACTTCATGACTGGACTGGAATTCTTTCTGTAATCCGCACATTTCAAAACAATGGCCAGTGCTCACCGTGCTTCTTTGGCAGGTCCACTGTGAACTTGTGCAGCACTTCCCGGGTGTTGCCCTGCAGAGTGCCAAACAGAGCCCCATTTCCATCCATCACTATAAACCCAAACTTGTTGTCATCTGCTAACAGCGCTGTCAAGGCCTCTGTGTGAAACTGTAATGCAACATAATTCAGACTATGCAGGGTGGTTTTTAAATACTCCAACACTATTGTGAATCTGACAGTGCTTTTCTTTCATCACATCACAATGTCCACTCTGATGTCACAGAAGGGAATTCTTTATTCAGTTTGCTTATTTTCACCCATTCCTCACATTTGAATTCCTTCTCTCCCCACCTGGTGGTCTGAGTGCAAACTTTAGACAAATATCTAATCTGAATTTTCACTCCAAGAAATGCAAAGGCACAATTTATTTTATTAAAACAAATGAACAGAATGAGTACACAAAAAAAAACAAATGCATAAAACCATCAAGTTTCGATATGAGACGTATCCCTTGATGATGGCACAGCTGACACCAAATATGTACGGTGAAATTTTATAATCTTTGTATTTAACCATAACTGTACATTAAACATAATACAACATATGATTTGCATTCAATAATCAACTAAAACAAAAAGTGATAGTGGAACCATGGTTCCGGAGAATTTGACGTGAATACGTCTATACGGAAAGGAAGTTTATATATTGGCTTTATTCTAAATATTTCCTTTATACCCGCTTTACAATTGAGTAAAGTTTGATTAAGACATTGCTTATTTAACTCTAATTAGTTACGCTTAAGATGGGTCTGTGGTAGATGAATGTAATGTAAAGTAATGTATTTTAATGTAATGTAACGTTCCCTAGGTAACAACAATGCTGAGTAAACAGATGACGCTTCCTAGGAAACAATAATGCTGAGTAAACACGACGTTCCCTAGGTACACTTGTTACACTTTTTCGTTACACTTTTTTGCCGAATGACCCTTCCTTATAGACGTATTTACGTCAAAAAAGTGATCAGGTTTAGAGAGCAGGGTGTAGCAAATTTAATTTCTTGGGTAATAACCAATATTGCGGTGAAATGGTTCAGAAAACCAGTGTATCACAGCATAAACAAAGAATGTAAACACTAACATAAGTGTTGTTAGATAGAAATATAAAGCACATGTAGTGTGGAAGAATATAACATATTAAATAATCAGAAATGCAAGTACACATTTTAAATATTAACAAGATTTGCATTTGTTACTGACATCAGAAATGTCCATATAACAGTTTCACAGATGTTGGACATATGATGCCACACATTTAAGTAAATACCAAGGCCAAATTATAAAATAGAGCCAATTACCCATTCTGCATCACCAGCTTCTTAAAACACCCCCCCCCCACCTTGTGCAACATACAGCCCACGACGTAATCTCAAGATTTGCAAGGAATGCAGAAAGTCTGTAGCGTTAAAGGCAGACGCTATCTTTCCTCCTTCACCCCACTTCCTCACCCCGCAAGTCTCAAGATTACAGTCGTGGACTGTAAGTCCTGCTCAACAAGCCAGCAACAAAGTATACAAGTTACCATATTTTAGACTGGCCATCTGGAATAAAGAACTTTGCACTCTAGCAACATATTATGTTGGTGAAATACTATGAAAACAATCCACATGCCAGAAAATGGAACGAGTTTTCAGCCTGATGGTTCGTAACAACTGGTACTAAAGCATGCCACCACATTTAACATCAGACACAGGACACCAAATAAACTTAAAGACCTCATTAATGAGAAAACGACTGCATGCATTTTATATCTATTCAAATTCACAAACTACACTACACCAACCTTCAACAATAAAGGCGAGTTTTATGGTTTAAATACCATTCTTCGGGAATGTGCACTGAGGATTGTGTTTTACTTCTAGAAAGAAACTTTATCTCCTATTACTTAACATTCTGCACACAGAGAAAGGTACATTTTGCCCATGGTAGCCGCAATGAAATACGGGCAGCTCTTTAACTGTAGCTGACAGGGGGACAGGGCAGAAATACTTTGCATATATGTAGCACTTCTTCTTTCCTGGCTCTGCAACCCAGTTGTGGGTCTTCGCCACTTCCTTTTCGAAGGTTTCCCTAGTCTTTGAAGCGTGCATTTGTGAGTAGTGAGTAAACAGCCCACTGTCTCTGCACAATTTCTATTCAATCCTGATTTGACTGCTAGAGCCATCTAGTAGTGAATCAGGAGAGACTTGGGTGAGAAATGGCCACTGAATTTTGCTTACGAAACAATTCGTTTCATGCTCGCAAGGTTCTTTTACATGCCGTGAATCTATAACATGGGATCGCCGGTTATACTTCCCCTCCAAAGGAAGTTGTGCTATGGATTTATCATCACCCTTAAATATCCATCGACCTCGGCCGGGTTTGAACCCGTGAACCTTGGCTCCAGTAGCAAGCATGCTAACCACTAGTCCACCAAGGGCAACATATATGTATAGTTCGCAAATGTAATCTGGAGACTTGCAGGGTGAGGAAATGGGGTGAAGGAGGAAGGAGCAAAGATAGAATCAGCCTTTAACGCTTCGGACTTCCTGCATTCCTTGCAAGTCTCAAGATTACAGTCGCATATTGTAGCACTACTAATTTGTATTTGGCACATTCTGGGTTCAACTTTTGGCCCAAACATTCTGGCTTGAGGATTCTTACGGTTTTTCACTGCCCCTCCTAAATTAAACCAAACTGCATCCTTCCAAATACTTTCCAACTGACCATCAACCATTCTATCATCTGACACTACATAGCTACAGCATCATAGATAAAACAGTAACAAATAAATACACATACAGGACCCATATTGTATTTCCTTGACAGCTTACTCCATGACACCTACCTTATTGTCACATAGATACAAAGATGTATTGATAGGTTTGAATGGTTCAAAATCGATGTTAACCTTCTTCTCTTTGCCTTCGTCTGTCACGATCGTTCCACAGTAAATTACTAGTCCATTTGGGGGCACTGAAAGTAGAGCAATTTCATTACAATATGGAAGAAACATGAGTTTCAAGGTTTTCTGTTCAAAACAGAATGGAATACATGGCTATTCTGTTATACAACTCAACAGAGTCATGAATCCCCTACAGACATGGAACCCACAAATTCTGGTAACATTAACATATCTATAACTGTTAATGGGAGGGGCTGTATGGAAAACAAAATCAACATAACAAATATTAAATGAAATGAAAATCCTGACACCTTGGTTTAAATGAAAGTTAATTTATTTTCACTTCATCATTTGAAATCTTGCTGTATGTGTGTGTAAATATATTCTAATGCAACACAATATTAAAAATAACTGCTTAATTCAGCTTGTTGTTGTAACAGGAGAAGCAAAGATTTTCAGAAATCTATTGACATCAATTACCACACAATTTCTAATTGGAACAATTGAGCAAGCCTTGCTGATGGCTAAATTCAGACTATATGCAGCGCAATAGATGTAAATTGCAGTGAGCTGGTTTTGCCTGACACACACCTGTTCGCCACTTTGCTTGCCACACATCACTAAAACTCAACCGTATCACCGTCCTCACAGGAAATATACAACATTTTTATAATAATTTTATACGCAATTCTGTAAAAACTGCAACATTGTTATCTAGCAATAAATAATAATTACTTTAACCTTTTCCATACAGCATTTTAAATTCCTGGGATTTATGCACATGTACAGACTTAATTGAAATTTAAACAGTCTCAAACTGCTGGCAGTTACAATACAGTGTTTAATTTTTTTAAGCTAGAAACACAAATAAAAACTCTATTATTGAGAACAATCCTATTTACGTACATACAAAATTTTGTAGAAATAAATCTATACTACTTCACATTTATTTTCAATTATTTCAATCTTTTCCATGTTTTAATCGATTATTTTCCAAATTTACCCAGATGATGCATATTTACGGTGGCAGGAAGTCTCGGAATCTACCATACTTGGTTTAGAACTGCTATAGGCATGTTTGTTTGGTCTGCCAAGCCTCATGGTAAAATGAACACAATCTTTCTCGTAGTTTTTGTCAGTGGTCGGATTGCAGAACAGTTTATCGACAATGTATAGTAAAAAATCAGATAAGTAAAAATCATATATGGCATAGAGGTCCATACCTGGAAAAAAAACACTTCAACATGTGTGTATGTAAGCTTTGTCAAAAGATCATTTCAGGTGCTCAAGCTGGTGTCAGGGACAAGAACAATACATTTATTTTGAATAAGAGGGTTTGTTTCTATCTTATAAAATAAATTTCATTCCACTCCTTCCATTGCAAGAGTTAATTTGAAAATTAAAAATACCTCAGAATGTGTGCACTGTGTACAGATGAAAATATTACAAATTATTCATTCAGTTAATGGAATCAAAAAGTAACTTTATATTGCACATTATGACCAGAAGTGTCTGGTTTCAGAACACAACTGCACAGCACAGAGGTCAAGATTAACAAAACAGACTAGGATGAAGAAGAAGACCTGACAGAACCCACAATTCTACCACAACAATCACCCCAAATGTTGCCAAAATGGGAAGTCTAAAAGAACAGGTGCAAAAATCGAAAGCCTAAGGGGCCAGACTATCGGGTTCCCATGACCATACCGCAGACAAAAGATGTGACTATGAAGGTGACACCACCCCATTCACATCCAAGGAGGTGTCCAAATGGGGACAATTGATAGATGGGCCAAACAAGAGTGTCCATCAATTCACAGGTGACACATCTGGCAAAAGACAGGAATTGGCACCCCATATCAACAAGAACTCGATTCCATACAGCATTTTCAGGTTGCATCTGTTACACTTTGCTGGTGGAGACCAATATATATTACCAACATTTGATCACACTTGATGGCAAACTTTCTTCGCTACCTGACATTTCTGAACCAGAAATATTTCTGGTGTTTATTGTTCACAGGGACATGACATATACAATAGTCTGGCAATCTATCGGTCAACAATAGAACAGTTTCTTATTGACTGGTTATTTTACATTATTAGATGCCTACACTTTTCGAACAATGACAGTGCCAGTAACAAAAATGACCCAACTATGACAGTCTGTGGAAACTAAGAAATACCACTGACTTCTAGAATAAAAACCCACTCAAAATATGGCACTCGTAAGAATATCTGGTTGTAGACAAAGTTATAGTACTTTTCAAAGAAAGGGTATGTTTCAAATAGAACATGAGTCCTGTACATTAAACAGCTCCTTTTTCTCTCCTCACTTATTCAAAAATATGACAGAACAAAAAATCAACTACTGTGGAACAGTACAACCTAAAAGAAAGAGAATGCTACTTGAACTGCTATTATCAAAGAAACCACTGAAATGTGGCAATATTCAGTCCAGGACAAGCGATGACTTGATGGCAATGGTCTGGAGAGATAAATGTGATGTGTCTGTACTGACATATACACACAATCCACCAGCAACAGAAGACATCTTTTGATGAACATAAAAACACTTGAAGCTACAAATCGCACAGGACTACAACCAGCATGCAGGACACTTTGGCAGAATGACCGACAGTTATTTAATAAAATGGCAGACATGGAAGTGGATAAAAACCTTCTTTCCATCCATCTGTCATACATGACTACTGCAAACAGCTTCCTCCTCCTTACGTCATGTTGTGCCAAAACAAAACACAGAAATTTATGATTTGCCCACATGCAAAACTTGATTGAAAATGTTGGAAGTTGACCTCATTCCCATCGTCCCATTTGCAGACAAGCTGCCACAGAGAAAAGTGTTACTACGTTCAAAGTAAATTTTAGCAATCCTATGCCAATTACTTCCTCCAGAGTGAATTGTTGCATCTCTTCTGCACAAGGGATACAAAAGAAAGTGCAAGTAAAATGCAAGGAGTGTGATTTGGGATTGTATATTAGTGTTTCAGAATTATATCATAAAAATATAAAAATTTAATTTACTGAGGACAAAATATCTAACCAAACAGATATGTGAAAGAAAATGTCATGTATTCTGCAATGTGTTCTGCTCAGCAAAGAAGCACACAAAGCCCAGCATACATAAATTGAAGGTTCCTTCACATCAGAGGTTCAGAATTTCTGTGAACCCTTAAAAACAAACACTAAAGGTCACAAGGAATTATAGCCACAATAACAGGAATTATGGTGTTTATGTCCTGTTACATTTCTTTTCAGATAAATTTAGTTTAAACTAAAAGCTTTCTGCTTCATTATTTATAGCAATCTGCAAGCCTACTTCCAAGGTTCCCCAGTTTTAGTTACTTTTTTCATAAGTTCTGCCATCTTTAGGTATAATTACATACAGCTGGAGTTCTAATGATGCAGAATACTACAAAATCAGTACAGGTCTCATGTGTGGTCATGGATATCAGGGTACATGGCCCAACAGACAATTTTCAGATGGTCTTCATCCATCTGTATTTTTAATGATGGCTCCCCTCACAGTGAAGCAGCATTTTTATTACACAACAGAAATGGGCAATTCATGACAGAATTGTTCAGCACAGTGAAACAATTCACTTCAGACAAAATGAATCCTTCTGTGCTTCACCTACACTCACTCTGAACTCTGAAATGAATCACTGTGCACTCATCTATTATGTCTTTACCTTTGGGCTCAAAACCTAAGCACTACCTAGTCGAATTTAGTCATGTTGCTATGGAAACCATAAGCTGATCTTTCTCAAACATCACTCCTCCCATGTTTCGTACTTCTCAAACAGAGCACAAATGTTGCAAACTTTACGAAACAAAAATTTCATTACATGACAGGAAATAAGTAGCACTTGTTCCAGACTGGTCTGGTCTTGCATTTGCTCCATCTTAAAATTAGCAACCTGTAAAAACAGCAGATGCCTACCCTTGGTATAAAGTTTCAATCTGTGTTGTACAGATGTAATTGCACCTAATACTGAGAGCCTGTTCACTCTAGACTTGATGTTTGATGCTGTCCCAAATTCATCAGCCAGCATTTTGCTCACCCGAGAGATCTGGTCCTTTGGTGGAATGATCAGGGAAATCATGCTCGTACCATTCCTAGGATAAAAATCTAAGTAGTATATTGAGCAAATAATCTAAGCCAACATATAACAGCAAAGGTAAATAATAACAGATACACTTAAGTGTGCTTATCTCTGTGTGAAAGTAAAATGAACCCAATCTGGCTGAAGTATGGTAGGTATTATTTTAAAAACAACCGTAATTCAAAGGCAGCGACACATTACAACTTATTAATACATTCTTACTGTACCTACTTCTGGCACACATTTCACCAAACACGCAAACAGCTTACATTCCTTACCCTCTTGCCATTTCCAGGCTCTTGATGAGCTTCTTGATTTTCCAGATTTCGACATTTCGGTCGGATGAACTTTCTTCAGAATTATTGTACGAGGAAGACATCTTAAACTAATTGTCCTTCCTCCTTCGGGAAATAGTTCCCAACAATATTTCGAGGTAGATTCCAAAAGATCTCTGCCAAATCCGTGGCAAAATGGCGCAGATAAGTCTCCTCCTGCCGTATGGGGGCCCCTCAATCCCGTATGTCCAACAGGTTTGGCGATTTACTAACGAAATCCGGAATTTTCCGGTTTCTATAATAAGTGGAAAGAGTATTACTCCAATCTGTTTACATCTGTAATGTAACTATTGCCAATTTTATGAACACAATCACAAAGTATTCCCAACTTTCTTGAACACCACATAAGAACAAACCATGTGCCATGTGCACTGCCAAAAATGTTTCGAAACTTCTGTATGGACGTCAGCCTTATTCACGCTGTTGCAACGTCAGTACAGAACTAGATTGTAAGGCTCAAGGTTCTGGAATCCGTTGAAACTAACATTCCGCGAATAGCAGTTATGAACCAAATTAAACAGAAAGTGAAAAGAGCATTTAAAAATAATCAATCAACCAACAGAAACTTTCAAAACTGAATTTCGATATTAGATATTACTGTAAATATTTATATCATTCAGCATTTTAAGAAACTAATCGGGATCGATTATGAAGTGTGTTGGCAATCATGCAAGTAGCAAATAGCGTTCAGAAATCTGCTATGTTCTGGAAGGGCTTATAACGTCATCAAAACGATTGTGGTGGTTCAAAGATACCAAAGAAGATGATCGAAAATCTAGATGTGTGAAGGCACATATGGCGGGTAGGTTGCCGAAGATGTAGTGGTCCGAAGTGATTATATGCAATTATATGAGCAAAAAAAAAATTGACAGTGGAACCACGGTTCCGGAGAATCTGACGTAAATACGTCTCTGTAATGTAATGAAATGTATATAATGTAATAATTCTTAAGTACTTACTTTAGAGTACTTACTTGTGATATTCTAAAACGTTTTTACCAGCACAAAATTATCTAGTCTACGACGCACTTCTTCTACAAGCGATTCGCAGCTCAGCTCTTTCCACAATAACGGAAGCGGATTGTTGACGGCAATAATGTAACACAACAATGCCGATTAAACAGATTATTCAACAATTAGTTTCTTAGGTAACATAATAATGCACGCAGGAGTTCATATAAAAGCTTACCATTGTGGTCTGTCCATATTTACACACTGTTGATAAGGATCTTACACATCTTCGTTACGCTTTTTTGCCGAATGACCCTTCCGCATAGACGTAATACGTCAAATAGGCTACTGACAAATCCATGATGATACAACTGCTATTCGACAGCTATGTAATAAAAATTCCCAGTATTGAACTTAACCGCATGTCATTGTAAATCTTTGGCTTGTCATGGATTTAACTCAGAGTCCCGATTATCCGACCTAAACGGGCGAAGGACGGTAGGTTAGTCGAGGATGTCGAATCAAACGGAAAACTAACGAAAAAAGACAAGGTTAACTTCAGAACATTATTAAACTACGAATAAAATACAATACAGTAACAAATAAATTTCACAAACATAGTATTTAACATAATGTAAATATGCAAATAAAATAGTTTATTTTGAAATAAATTAGTGGCGGTTATTTGTTTCAGAGCCGCCTTCATTTTATTTGCGGCAAGGTCACGCCGAATAGTAGCGTGTCTGAATCAACTGAGTAAAAACAATTATAAAATGTACAAGGTGCGTTGGAGGTTCATTCAGTTATTCAGCTACATGCTGAGTTAACTGTTGATAAAATGGAGCATTCCAACACAGCACGTCTGACAAACCGGAATGTCGGTTAACCAAGGTCGGAAATTTAGGCCCCTCTATATTTAAGTTTGTGTCTGGCCAACGATTGAAGTTCATAAACTGAGTGTAGCAGATAACGCTCCAGCAGATTGTCAGAACGTTGCATTTAAAAAGCAACCCTATCCTCCAAACACGAAACGATGACACCAATCACAGGATTACATTTTTGCAGCCGTATCCCGACGTTGCAGCTGATGCACTGCTTGAAATACGTACACATATGACAATAATTACACTAGTATTTTGTCGTTCGATTAGCACTTTCCACAAACAAACGCTTCCGGTGTTGCGAAACTTTGTTACGAGTCGGTTTATTCTCGTATTATTCGGCTCTTCCTTGTTAAGATATGCGTTGCTCAATGTTTCATAAACAGCAGCAAACGATTTTGATGCGAAGTAATGTTCGAGAATGAACAAACATACTTATAATGATTACAATGTTCGCACCTGCACATCTTGCACGTAACCAGTATCAGCACCAGCCTATAACAAGTGTGGCCTTGACTCAAACGTCATGTTAGAGGCTGAAGGAAAAAAACATATGACTGGATCTCTCACTGATTTCATGTTTGTACCATAATAGGTCAGTGTTTTTAAATTGCATTCAAAATTGTATGACACAAGACAACTCTGATATTTTATCATTGTTCTTGAAACAGCAGTGTGTGATGTTTTTCCATGCATATGATATTGATAACACATTAAATATTAATTACATGATAGGCAAAGGGATATTCTTGAGACTGTAAAATTGTTGAAAATGAACAAAGAATTAGCAGACCAGAACACAGCTTAGTTTTATTATAGTGCCATAGTTACATGCAACGCCATGTTACCAAGTAGAAGCAGTGCGTTGCCTGAAATGCATTGGAAGTGGCTATCACAAGTGTCTCAGGCTTCCAATATGCAAGTCCACTCAGCCACGCAGTTTCTCCAGCCACAACATATTCTGGCCTGCAACTGAAGACACAAAGTCAAGTGTGAGAAAGAACATATTGCTTGTTAACTGTAGACTCACTGGTACTTACTAGGGCATGGGGTAGCTTCCCACAACACTGCCACTTGAGAGGTCAATGATCACAAGCTCCTGCTTCCTGCAAAAGTTGTCCCACAGAGCTGCCAACATGAATTTTGCTCCGACTGCTACGAGGTCAATATCTGTACATCCTAGAGACAACTGATGCAGAGTTTCACCTGTACACCAGTCCAGTATCACAATGGCTCCTCCATTCCTGACATATACCAATTTCCTGTCATGGATGAGAAACCGACGCATCGAGGCACCTGTCAGTATAGAAGGTCCAGTAGCCTCTAACCTGCCACCTTGTGTTAGCCAAGAAAATCGCTGGATGCTGACCTCATCTGCGAGAAGTAGGATATAATGAGGCATCATTATGATCTGTGACACAGAACTGTTCATTGTCGCAGTCCACAGGAGGACACCGGAGAAGAGGTTCCACACTCGAGTAGTTCTGTAATAGTGAACAAGTGGAAGGAGTGGGTTCAGAAGTGTAATGCACCACAAACTGAATGCTTCACATTCACACCAACCTGTCACTGCCTCCGCTACACAGCAAATCCAGTTCTGTGCTAATGTCCATGGCTGTGATGTAGCCAGCATGTCTATGATATTTCATTAAAGGTTCTGTGCAGATCTTCTTCTCATAGAAGAGTTGCCATGTGGTGATAGCACCATTGTGACAACCAACTCCCAACACCTGTCCATCTGGAGACGCCGTTAAACACGACAGTTTGTAAGGTACCTGAAACTTTGCCACATACTGCAGGTCTGATACCCGCCACACTTGCACAAGATTGTGGATGCCTGCAAGTGAATGATGGAGACAAAAAATCCTGGATGATTGTATATATACTATTATTTTATAATTTTTTTATTATTAGCGTTCTGTCTGACGCCAGGTCCATATGAACAGGATCCTTCTATCGTTTTCTCGGACTGGGACCTGTTCATATACGTTCTTGGCAGATGATCCAGAAGTGGTTTGCCATTGCCTTCTTCTGTGTGTGAATGGAGTAATTGTTGGGATGCCACGGAGAAACCGGGGAAGCCCCCGGAGGAAAACTCCGTGATACCTAGACCACGGCCTTGCCCAACACAAGTTATAAATCTGAGCACCACCGGGAATTGAACCTGGGACCCCAGGATTACAAGGCTAGTGTTCTGACCACTATACCACCGTGGCGGTGTATATATACATTTCATGGTAATATGGAACACTGCTACTGAAAATTGGTCATGCAGATTTTGTTGTATTATGTGAATACTGTGGGAGACTTTACTGTTGGTTTTAGATTATAAAACTTTACTATATGCCATACATATCATAAAATAAGTCATTATTCCCACTGAATATACACAAGAAATGAGATGTGGCCATAAAGTAAATAATTTCATAAGCACTTAATGTGTAAAACAACAAGTGAAAAATGGCAAAACACTCATCTGATAGTAAAATATAATGAAATTTGATGGTTCCAAAGGTACCAATATTTTGTCCTTCTTAATACAAATACAGTGTGCTACATCATTTTCTCATGTGTTCAAATCCTAGGTCTCTAACCTTATTATATCTGTGATGTATGAAAGGTTTACAACTCATATAATGAGTTCACTTCCTTCAAATCAAACCAGATCACACTTCTAACTCCTGAAAGAAAAATGCAATTTAACAAGCTTTCCGAAGTTTAAGGACTTAAACCCAAGCCACCTGATGAGATGAAAAATCTATGCAGATCAAAGAGTCTGTTACAGTTGATGTGATCATATTATGTACATGCTTATGAATATTTTATTTTTATAATCTCTGGGTATGAAAACATTAAAATGATTCCCACTTTCTGGTATCTCAGAATTTGGTTCAAAACTTCTACATCAGATCAACTCACCTGCAAACAGATATCCGTTGCCATAAACTAACCCTCTGATGACTGAAGCATGGAAATTCTCAGGAATGAAGTTTCTGTGTTTAAATGCAGATCCCTTCTTTAGATGCTGCAAGAGCCTTCGACAGGTAATGTAAAGTGTCTTCCAGTTGTCAGCAATATAATTCACAGAACTGGTGCCTAAGTGCAGACACAAATAGCGCCACACTGGCTGCAATGACGAGATAATTCTGAAATAAAACACAGCAGGGTATTACTGAAATTTCTCACCTGGGGAACAAACACTGTAGTTCTGTGACATGCTACACAGGGCATCACATTTGCATTTAATGATTCTTTCAACTGCAAAAGTAAGTAGGTCATGCAATAGCGCTGATAATAATTATTAATACAGTAACAACCACTCACAAGGACTTGGGATTTATTGTTATTTAAAAATGCTCTTTTAGCTGAAGTGTAAAAATGATTGTGAATGTTGGAAAGGTAAATATCTGACAGTAGTACCCTGACATTTGCATGGAAGGCACCAATAAACTGATAATCCTCAGATGATGAATTTCTTGGCAGATTTGAAACAGGCAGGCTCCTCCAAAAAAGAAGCCAGCCATATTACTCTAAGGTAACCTGCTTGGTAAGCAACACAAACATTTGATACATACAGTATATGAAGAAATTAATGTGTATGTGCTCTTTCACTTCTCAACTCACCTGTTCCATTGTGGGCTGACAGAACAAGCCCTTAAGAGTGAGTCCCCATCCAGGTGGCTGCATAAAATCTCCTGCAACTCTGTGGGTAGTGTTTCCATGTCCCAGCAAGGAGTCTAAATTTAGTGCAAGCTACTCCATTGCTAGTCTCTTTTCAATAAACATTTGCTCAGTAGGCAGGGTAACATATGTATCATGTACTTCATTTCCTTAGACCAAATGAAAGATGGTAGTAAATGATTGTCACAACCAACTTCATTAGATTGCAAAATTATTTGTTATAATAATTTTTTTTACTAACTCTTGCAAATCATGGATAAGCTACCCAATGGTCAGCGAAATTTGTATTGAATGGTTTGAGATACATCAGAGCCAAATTAACCTGTTTAGCGTGTTTCTGTTCAAAACACATAACCTATAGTAATACATGTTCACAATCATTTGATGATTCTCTAGTTTACAATGGGTTAGAACAAGCTGATACTTTCTCCCACTGTTCTTAAATAATCTTTGCATGACATGCATACAATGAATAAATGTCTGTCCACATGTTTCAAACTGAGAACTGTTGGATGACTTACATAAATCTTCGTATCAACACTATGTCAATCGAGGCCATTCCAACCACATCATTTTTTAAACTTATACAGTTTGTCATAACATGGCATAAGTATGAGCTTCTGAGGTGGAAGTGGTACTAGCACTATGTAGTATGGGTCTTGAAACAATGTTTAAAAAAAATATTCAACTTTTATTGAAGCAAATAATTATTTAGACTGTAAACCAATATGGTGGTATGAAAACACTTTCTTTGTCTCAGTTAGAAAGAAGTAACTAGTGATATGAAAGTAATAACAAACACTATGGTATGAATGAAATATCATTTGGAAATAAGTAATTACAAACCTGGTAACAATGCAGACCTTTGAGGTTATATCCGACAAATTTAACACTGAATCAAACAAGTTATTTCTAAAGCAAATCATAATTAAAATAATAATAGTAATAACATTCTAATATAAATGACCTAGGAATTTTATTGTTTTATTCACTATTTTACATTTGTCTGCACAGTACAATGAACACATAATAAATAATTTCAGGAGATAAAGCAGTCACTGTAATTCTGAAATCTATCTTGACATATAGGCCTACACATTGTCTACAAAGCTATGAGCATACAGAATGTGAAAGTGCAAAGAACACATGTAAACTCCAGTAGATTAAAGGCTTTCATAAATATTTCACCAAAACACTGTCTCATATCATGAGGTTTGATAGAGTAGTCTCAAGAGTTATGCAAGAGATATCATCTAATGACAGATCAACTCATTTTATAATGCCTTTGCTGTTCCAATAACACAGGTAACTTCATACATCATTACACAATACCAACTTAGGGAAACAAAATTATCAATGGCCAAAGATTGCTGTCTTCTGGGTTGTACTGCCATGTAGCCTGGTTGATAAACCTCTAATACACTACATGGCACTGCAACCCAGAGGACAGCCGTCTTTAGATTCACCGCCAAGAAAACCTCAGATCCTACCTAAAATTATCAATCACAAGGTACATACTGTTGTGGACATTCCCAATACAGTAATGCCAGTATGTCAGCATGTGCTTTTAGGATGTATGCAGTGACACTTTGGTGACAATTGAAGTTACTGCTGACACTTCTTCAAACATATTTTGCCAGTTCATACCCAGCACTTAATAATTTAGAACTCAAAGCAGACTGGTGTTGACTATTTATCAGTCTTCGTGAATTAAAATCAAAGTATCAATGAATGTACAACAGTCTGATTTTCTTGAATGCTGGCTTAAAGCAGGAAGTTTAAAAAAAGAGGAAAACTTAAATCAAGACCTATCAATTACAAGTGTTGGAGCTACAAGCACTTTTGGTATGAAAGATAAATTACAAAAGAAATGCAAGTATGATGAGAGCCATCTCAGATTCAGATTTGTTTGTGATTCCAGTGGACATTACAGGAAACAGTTCCACATTTCCCACAAAACTACAGCAGCACATTCATACAAAAACTTATTATGTATTTTAACATAAATATGAACTGAAGCATTCTCAAAGTACATGAAAATCCTAAAACCTTCTATCACAAAAAATACTTCACGAGGACATGCACTGAGAAATGCCATATGCCTTTTTCTGATGCTGAATGACTCTTTAAATGAACTTGAAAGTGTTAAGTAATGTTCTTTCAGATAAAATGGAATATTTACAAGACCTACAAGTTGCAGTGAAAAAGTACTTTCCATCTGTAGCAGTTTTTCAGTTATATGAAACCTATTTACTTCCCTATAACAGCGTAAGGGTTGTTAACAAAACAATATGAAGAATTAAAAAACACTTTAAAAGACACTGGTTCAAAAGATATGCAAACAGCTATTCATCTGATTAACTTCTGGGCTAGTATGAATGGTTCCCATATATGTAAAGTGCAGAAATGAAGAAACTACATACCTGTGTGAAACAGCATTTTCAAGAAATGTGCCCCCCCCCCCCAAAGAAATCAAGTAAGCTTAATGCAAAGAATGACATGAGCATATAGTTTTCCAAAACTGTACCTAACTTCAATCCCCTTATGGCGAGTAAGCATGCCCACCTATTATATGAGTTAAGCACAACATAAATTGTTTCCTAAAATACAGTGAATTTAATTTAATTTAATATTCTGCACATATAGTTGTAAATTAAAAGTATATACTTGCTTATGAAACATGCATTTTCATTTTGAGGGTTCCACAAATATATTTTATTACCAAAATAAATTCACAATAGCGAGGGTTGAGAATGACTTCCCAAGAAAATCATCTGAAAATCCAAAAGAATCAGGAAGGGCTGAAATCAAATAGCTTAAATCGGGTTCCCTGTTTATGCAGTAATTTGCATAAAAGTGCCAGAAATAATGCAGAAATTTTCCTACAGGTCATTAATTTTTTTTGTTGAGATAAAGATAACACTAAATATATGAATAATACACAAAACCAAATTCAAGCAACAAAGTTAGAATATAACTTCATGTAATGAATTACTTTGAAAATTATTTGGTTAATTTATCATATATGTGCACCCAGGAATTTTGTGAATTAGGCAAAGGAAAGGAAGATGAGAGTGAATGAAGAATTTGTAGTAATAATGGATTTTGTTAATACTATCTTCATTTTACTTGTACCAGTTGCAATGGTCACACAACAGAAAGTTCAACCTCAAAACCTAGCATAGGTAAAAGAGAATCTTTCAAGAATTTGTTATGCAGCAAAATTTCACAACAAACCATTCATTGATAAAGGTTTTATTGATAATTTTAATTTACATAGATAGCCTTACACTTACTAGTATGTACAACACAGTGTTATTACAAATGTACACCTATTACATGTAGAAAGATGAGACCACATAACTTGCCAACTAATAAATGGCAAGGGCAAAGACTCTGGCCTCACCAGCACTGCACCATCAGCTTGTGGCTCACCTTGACTGAAATAAATACTGCAGAATCTGTTCAACGTGTGTAGTAGACTCGATAGTACAATGTCTTGGAACGCCACAAAGAGTACGAGTTGTCAAACTTGAGGAGGTACACACCTTGTCCTGGATACACATGACTCCCTGCATATACTTCCTCCTGGCAATCTCGTCGGTACACTGGCACAATGACTGACAGCGGAGGACGGTTGCTCAGGTCTGTTGCCTTTGTGCCTGCCAGCCCACTGCCTCCCTCTAAATCCTCTCCTGAAAGTTCCGCAACATCATAAATTCATAAAGGATCCCCACATAACAGTGTCCTAACTGAGTCACTACCTGAAAACTTTACACCTGACCTTAGGTATTACAGACTTTGGATCATAGCATCTTAAATACCTATAATTACAATACAATGACCTGATCATAAGAGTCCAATTTTACAGATTTAGAGCATGATAAAGGCTCAAGGAAAGCAAATATCACAATCTGCCATTGCTGAACATTGCTTCAACATGGGACACCTCATATAGCTCGGGGATCCTTCTATCCCCTCCACAAAAACCGGCTACATGGATTGGATAATCAGGGAAGTCATCGAGATCGAATTACATCCTGATAACTTCAACAGGGAAGATGGACTTCACCTGAGCCGGTCATGGAAGCCTCTTATTAAAACTCTTCGAGGGCTCTGAGAGCGCCAGAACCAACCAGACCACTAACTTGGCCCTTTTCAGGGCCCCGATCACATTCAACCAAACTCCCGATGTCCCACCCGATGCACTTCCCGAGCCCCCCTCCCTCTCTTTCCTTTCTCTCCCTTTCTCAAACTCGCCCATGCTCTCCTATTGGTCCACTCCCACGCCTGCTCTCATTGGCTCGGGGCAGGCTCCTATAAACCTAGCCCCACACACCCTATTGGCATATTCATCGCCCTGATGACGGAGGCAGTATGACCTCTGAAATGTTGGTTAACATCGACCAGACTACACAGCGCAACAACCCAGAAGACGGAAATCTTCATACTCACCGCTGTAAAAACCCCAAATCTTACAAGTATCACACCATTAACCAACAATCTATTCTACTCAATATTAATATAATTCAAATGTCAGAGTCTACATAAATGAATCTTCTTTACTGTAAAATTTAATGTCAGAAATTCTTAAAATGTTGAAGACTTTAGGGCAGTTCTAACACTTCCTTCAGGCTTCCCGATTCCTAGTCAAAACATCTGGAAACTTTTTTGTTTTTAGTATTTTAAACTTCTGCTCCTATGCATGTTACATAGAGCTTCTACTATAGAAGTTACTGCAGAGTATCTGGTTTGATCTAAGTTTTCACAACGGTGAGTACGAAAACAGCAATCTTCTGTGATGTAGTCTGGTAAAAGTTTACCAATGTTTCAAAGGTCCTTATTCCCTCCATTATCAGTGTGATAAATATGCCATATGTACAGAATCAGTTTGAGACATAGGAAACAAGAAATCTTTGCGGTGCAGCAAATAGATCAATGGACATAAGTGCAGGTGCACGCAGCTTTAAAGATGGAGGCAACAAGGAACTCTTAAACACTCATAAACTTCTATCAGACTGCACAGTGCTACAACCAAAGAGATAGCAATCCTTGTCTAAAGTTTATTTCAATGCAGGTGCTACTTCAAAATATCTAATGATAAATGGAAAACAACTTTTCAGACAGAAACAAAATACGGCCCATACCATCGTCGTCATCGTCATCATCGTCGTCGTCATCTTCATCCTCGCTCTCTGAGATGTGTACCGACACTTGGCTACTTGCAGACGTGGTCCATTCAAAGTACACTCCAAAACCAATATCATAGCTGTCAGTGGCAAATTCCCAGAACAGACACGTGCCATCCTCATGTGTTGGTACTCGAACCTTTAACAGAGCACAGACAGAATTGTTCTGAACTTCCTCGGCAGATCCTAGTAAAGAAATTTCCACTTCCTCAGTCTTGGAGCATAATATGTTTTTATCATAATTTTATGACACTTTTTAAACTACAATAGTTAATATGGCATCAAATGATAGAATGATTATGAATGAGCACTAATGGATATTATCTCTTTTAAGGTAGCACTGGAAGCAGTTAGAAATTATGGGCACTAACCCAATACTTGCTTTGAGAAATGTCCACATTGGATACAACTTGTTTCAATTTCTTCACAGTTTTCACACTTGTATTTAGTGTTGACACTGAAAGCCCTTAATGTGATGCCAGTTCAATATGTGTTCTAATCAATATGCACATCAACTTGTGCTAAAATATCTATCTCATCACTTGGCAAAAGTGATAAAATACTTATTGTATCACTTAGTGTAAGTGATATACATTTTCCTTTGTTATCCACATTTCACCATTCTGCTATGAAATTCAACTAAATTTCGAAGTGCATGTTCTATTAATGCAGTCATGCATCAGCCAATTGAAAGTATGAATTCAGCTATCAGACACAACAAATCCCAACTGCTGAATTAAGAATTCTGAGAAGTTGACTATGAAACATAAAATCAGGCAAATTTCCTTACTCTGGACTAAAAAAATTGAAGTGCAAATGTGAAGAAAACATAAAGTTGCAGGAATATAAAATCAGTTTAAATTTGACATTATTCATATGGCCACTTGGCTGGGACATTAGTAAAAGTATGCAAAACTACATAAAACAAAAGACGGGTTAATGAAATCAAAGTTTCACTGCATTATCATAAGGACTTCCAACCAAATTTCTGTACGCATTTCTCATCTCCCCATATGGCTTACACGTTCCCCTCGTCTTACAGTTCTTGATTTGATCACTGTAATAACATTAGGTGAGAAGAACAGATTATGGAAGTTTTAATTATGTAATTTCCTCAATCTAAAAATACTCTCTTCAGAACTTTGCTTGAACACCACCAACCTCTGTTCTAACCTTAGAATGAAAGATTAAATTTCATACCTACGCAAAGTAATGGGTGAAATTATAATTTTAATTCCTATGCTGTTAGAGAGGGCATGGGAAGATACGATATTCTGAAGAATATAATTTCATCATGTGTACCACTTTATACACCAATGTAATTTTAAATTAAATGCATAGTTTTAACTAATACATAAGACCTACAAATACAACATAGATTTTTCAACTATGTCCTGAGGAATTTCTTGGTAAGCTTATGATGATATTTATAATCACGCAAACAATTCCACAAAGTTGTGAAGATAAAAACTGACCGTGACCGTCTCGCCATGTCCCACTTTGATGACGGCATCTCCACCCTCTTCCCGGACAGAATCCTTGAACTCCTTAATATCCTTGCGAGTCCACATGGAAGCTGCAGAAATTGTGGGGAATTCACCTGCATTACAAAACATAACACTCCAGATCATACATAACAGCCTGTGCCACAATAATGTTTCAATCATAAGGTTAATAACTAACTTGCAAATAAACCAAACAATAAATCCATCAGATAAATATCTGTAATAATAATAATAATCTGTGGCGTAACAGCCCTCTGAGAGCCAAAGCCGACTAGCTTGACTGCTGGCCTCACGTTCACATGCCAACGCAGAGGTGAACGATCATCCAACCAGATATAGGGTGACGTGTGGTCAGCATGACTAATCTCCAGTCATTGCTAGTTTTCATGACAGGATTACGCTACCCATTGTAGCTCCCCAATTTCCTCATGATGCTGGGTTGGCACCGGTCGAAAATTACAAGTCCAAACATAAGACCTGTAGTCAATTTTTTAGTGTCAGATGAACCAAATAATCTTATACATTCAAATCGTCATTTGTAATATTTTCATTACTAAAATGTTTGTTATTAATATTTTCATTTCTGAATAACTTTCATTGACTGTTTATTAAAACAAATAGGAGTTTATAATAATAACTGTCAAGTACCTCAGATGTGGACAGGTATCACGTCATCACTCTGAAGAAAACATTTGTCAAGTTCTACGAAATCTGCCTGAAACACCTGTCACTTTAATGAATATCAAATTAAATGTTTCAAGCAATAAATGTTACTGTTCAGGTAAAGCATCAGCCTAGATGGTTACTGACTTTGGATTTTGTTATCGAGTAAAAACGCACGAACTGTTTGAAATATGGCAATAAAAATCTGATCTGATATTCAATATTATACAACAACCAAAATAATTTTACCAATGACCTTGAGAAAGTCTAACAGTAAGAAGTGCCATACACTTCGATTTAGTTCGAGTGCAGTTGTGTGAGAACTAAAGAATGGTTGCACAGACCTCATTTTCAAAAAACATGTACGACAGACGCTTGTAACTACCTTGTGTGCCATCTTCCTCACTCTCCATATCTCTCTCCAGAGCATCTACCCCTCCATTACTCAGCAGATGGGCTGTTTCATCCATTGGGCCCTCAACAGTCGAAAATTGTTGCAGCTTTTGTTTGCAACACTGCTGTTGGTACAACTGCTGCATATACTGATGGTAATGCTGTTCCTGTAGTTGCCGGATCAATACTCCTTGCTGTGAGAGTAATAAGCATAATTTTAACATAAACTTGGTTAATGATAATAAGCTGTTGTTTACAGATCTAAATACCGTTAAAAGTTTTAATGTAATCACACAAACTAAATCAAATCAGAATATGTCAAACGATAAAGAGATGAAATGAGAATTTTAATCTCCATTTACTGTCAAACATGGTAAACCAGAATAAAATGAATAATCTCAAGATGGTTCTTAGCACAATTTATTCTAAGGGTGGGAGCA